GATCGGTTGCTAGCGACTGGCGACCAGTCGCGCGATCGGTCGCGCGACTGGTCGCTCGACTGGTCGCTCGACTGATCGCGCTGGACCGTCCGCGGCGGCACCCATAACTAGCGCGGCCTCCTCGACCGATCGAGCGACCAGTGACGCGATCAGTCGAGTGACCAGTCGAGCGACCAGTCGCTAGCAACCGGCGACCAGTCGCGCGATCGGTCGCGCGATCGGTCGCGCGACCGGTCGTGGACTATAAAAGATGCCACCTATGGATAGTCTCCCTCATCTATGTATATAGCAGAAACATTGTGTGTCGGTGTGTCGGTTTGTCGCTTTGTTAGTCCCGCAAAACTTATACGATAAAGGTAGTGATATGGAAAACCTAGATTTATTCTACAATTCCTTCTTATATATAAAGCGGTAGCTTGGCGGGTAGGTTAATGGTGTAGAGTGAGCAATGTGGAGTGGAGTGAATGAAGTGGGTGCTTCAAAACTGCGATTCCGATCTATACCGACATCGTGCCAAGTATGTCTTCACAAAAATCGGAGATGATAATGTAGTTGGGAGGCCCTTTCCTTCAACATAATTTCGACACAAGGAGTGTCGCGGATGCGACGGTGGCCGCTGGGCGCACCGCGCGCGCCCCGGCCCATCTTTGCTCGGCCGCCACAACGCGGCGCGTATGTGGGCGTGTTGTGCGCGTTCCTTCGCATAGCCTAGTCAGTCGGCACTCGTCATGCTCCGCGACCGGCTGGCTGTCGGCCTCTGGTCGGTATAGCCGGGTAACGCTGTGAAGTTGCCTATATGGCAACGGAGCGCCAGTGTAAGTCCGACCAGTATCCGAGCACCCCTCTCCGAGGGCGTGCAGTTGTCACCTGGCGGATACTGTGGAGGAAAGAAGGCAAGAAGACCGCCGAGGCAAATGGGGGCCTGGAATGGACAGCTGAAGGAGCTTGCCTTGAGGGAAGCCTGAAGATCGAAGGTCAGGCGAGTGTCGTGTACTCACTCTTGTATATGCCTTACTCATGTGTGCATATATTCCGTGTATTGATATTGGTGTGCCTTTTCTCATGATAATCCTTAGTCTCTTCTCGTAGTATTCTCTGGCTCTGGGCCCGTGGGTCTATTTTCCTTTGTATAGTTCCCTCTCTGGTATCTTGTAGTTGTAGTGTAATTGTAGTGTAATACGTCGTAGTGTAATAAACCAGTAACCCACACTTCTGTGCTTGCTTCGGGAAGTAGGAGAGGTAGGGCACTCTGATCGCGACGGGAAGTAGGTTATGTCGCCGCGTTCACATAGCTGGTCCCTGTGTCGGGGGCAGGGATCCCGTAGCGGAGTCCATGGCTTGGGGTCGCCGTGGTAAGGTCGGTGGGTCTTCTCTAGCCAACACCCCTTGGTCCTCGGGGGGTTGGTCCGCCCTCCCGTTCGGGGTGCAGGTAGTTTGTGGTGGTCCGGCGAGTGTGGAGGTTTCTGGGCTCAAGTACTACCGATGTCGATTGCGTCCCAAGGGGTGGCCATAAACCGCGACAAGGAGGTTAGTCCATAATTGTGTTTATTAACGTTTCTTAGTTTTTCGATCTGAGTTTTGGTAAGTGAAGGGATACAGGGGTGGGTGAGTCAACTGAATATTCAAATCGTACCCCATCCTTGCTTTTTGCACGAGGTAATCATCCCACCACCACCCCGCGGCTCCTCCCTTACTGAGGCTCAGCTTGGAACCATATGCTTTCGCCTAGAACCGTTTCTAAGTACAGGTCAGGTCGGCTTCCCCTCCTCTGCAATCTAACCCTCAATGTTGGATGAAAGCAATGCCGCCTCGCCCTCCCTAACTCACTTTCTAGCTACTTGGTAAAAGTAAGGAATGAGGCCCGGCTCAAGCCGGGCGACCCGTCTGGTTGAAAAGTAAATTAGGCACATGTTGTTAGTGAAAAGAGTAATCATTCGGAAAAATCCATCACGTCAGACTAGCTCATAGCCACGAGAAATTCGTTACACGGATGCAAGCACTCCGTCGAGAATTCCTACAAGAGATGTATACCAACTGTTTCCAAGTGCTTGTCTCGAATTTCAGGAAAGAAGCTGCGGAACAGTTTTTCCTTTGCCTTGCTACACTGCGCTGCACACATAAGGGAGCCGAGCAGTCACTCTGTCAATTCATAGGAGTGACATGGAGATTCAGGCCTTCGATGCATGCGTTCATTCGCTTTTTTATAAAATGTGTTACAAGTTTTGCAAAATTCTTTCTTTCTTGATATCGACTCTATACACCCGCTCTACCCCCCCCCCTTACATTGCGACATTAGAGTACTACTGGAAATGGTAATACAATAAGACCTCCTTGTCTCTACCGGCCGAACAAAGCTTACACGGTCGAATGACTGGCTCATTCAAAGTGCTTTTTGGATACTATTTTCGTGGCCACGAATTCTCCGATACCTGAGAAATGAAGTCTTTATAGAGAAATTACTGCTCGAGCATTAGGAGAGCAATTTATGACCCATGGTCCAACAATTGCCATATACCCTTCCCTTGGAGTAATCATGGTGATTCCTCGCTGTCGTACAATGAAATACTTGTATTCACTCTTGATATGACTTCTTTTTTCAACCTCTCTTATCTCCGAAGCTACGACAGACCGATTCGCTCATTTTGCAGCTCATTGTTACACCCACATGATACATCATAATCGGTTCACATAAGATATCATAATTCTTCAACACGATCTCTCTCATTTCTCTTAACACCCATAGGTAATCCGCTAGTAATGCCAGTAATCCGGCGTGGTAAGCACTTAGGAACGTGGAGGGAGCAATGAAAAAGACAAGCAACATCGGTCCCCCACCTTTTTGACTCTGCTGTCTTTCCTGTTTCGTCACGCTTCGGAAGAACGGGAACGCCGCTGCTTACGCCAAGAAACCGTAGATCAGATGGTTCGGACGGGGGGGGGGCGTGTGATTCACGCGTGACCCCGTCAGAACTCTTCACGCACGCGCCACGCGGCAGATTACGTACGTGTTTCAATGCGATCGCTTCAGTACCCTTCATTTGAGATGGATCAAATGAGTTGTGCACTACTTCATGTTCCACTCAGGTTCCTATTTTCCTGTTTTCATTATGATGGTAATCATGATGTTATACCGCGTCTCGTCCACGGCACCGCGCCGCCGTATTCCCTTTCTTTAACGCGAGATGACCTCGTTATGTTGACACGTGGATCGTACCACACACGGTCCGGGCACGTTATGCGATAATACAATGACCGTTGAACCTTTGCGGCTACTGACTGGATCCTTCTAGACGTGAAAAGAATACCAGGATGGTGGCCAGGGCGACATCAGACTCCTTCATGGAAGCTCTGGACGAAAAGAAGTCATGCCTAATGTCTCTCGAGCGAGGACAACCCACGAACGGGCCCGCTCTGGCCCGCGAATGGGACGAGTTGTGAAGTTATTGGCACGCGTTCAAGGAGAACGATTACCGACTAGCGTCAGGTGATACAAGTGATACTGAACTGTCTTAAAACCACAGTTCACGATAAAAATGGTTTCTGAGATTTCTTCGAGTATGAATTCGAGGCTTCCTTTTTGTCATACATGCCGTTATAAGGTCTAGAAGGCCTGTATAGGATACACTAAAGGCCAGAGATTAATCGTGTAAATGCCACACCTACAGTGGATTGGTAGAGGCTGCACTCTTCGAGAGACTCACATATATGAAGTTCAAACAACTTGTTATAACCCATTGCGACAGTGAAGGGCAGTTTCGGACAATTTTGGCTTGATGTCGTCATCCCTTTGCGCAATAGGATCAAATAAATCTCGCCCAAACACCTCTCACATGCGGGGGACGGCACGAACGTGCGTCCGAGGACGCGCGCGGCAAGTTGCGCGGCGAAGGTCGTGGACATTTGTATGACTCTGATGCCGATTTTTGGGGCACGAACTCTGAGTAGTGTAGTTTATTGGGGTCAGATGATCCTTCTAATGTATTCTGCTTCGAAATTGGGCCACAATGATAGGCGCTAAAGTCGTTCAAATAGTTACGAAATTCGCCGCGCAATTTACCGCGCGCATGCTCGTACGCATACCCCTTACATGCCATTCCTGTCACGGTGATCTCGTACAACCTCCTTTTCCGTTACTTTTGGAAGGCCTTGAGGTAGGCGAGTTTTCTCGCTTTTTTCCCCACCGATGTACTCCTCTACATCAACACTTCCGCCTTTCAACCTAAAAAGGGTACCTTAAAATTGTCGTGAACTGTGCCTTCAGATACTTGCATCAACTGGGTAGTTTTTTAGCCCGGTGGCATGAATTCTGTAGAATTGTGTCTTGCATTGTTGAACACACAGACGTTTGTCCCATTGCATACAATTTGATGAATCTCTCAACTAAAAAAAGACCTGAAAACTCAAAATGGAGCGATTTTCACCTGCTTAAAATCCTCCTTGAAGTTTAGTTCCTCAGCCCATTCGACACTGTTAAATCGTTCGACGAAGTACCCTCGATCATCGGGAAAAACCTGAAAGCACGTGGGTGAGCTAGAAAACCCTAGTTGGTTCCAGCTATAACACCCAGCCCTGAATGTTTTCTCGTGCTTCTTCAACTTACTTTCGGCTTAATAATTTTCAGATCGGGGATTTTCTCTACGATTTCGATCTCCGCTTTCACTCGCTTCGTAACTTCTTGAAAAGACATCAGTTATTTTCGACTATGACCACAGTATGCAGCCAAACTATAATGTAATGGAGTTTAGAAACAATCAAAATAGTTCTGAACATAAATAAAATGACGTGAGTCGAGCCACAAAAAGATGTAAATACTATCTTTGCTGAAATATATTGTCAAAAATGTTTAGCATTGTTAAGCTACGTTTGGAATTCTCGTGTTCATCAGAAACTCGAAGCTAGCTCACAGCTACTGATTCGCACACTGGCCTATCATACGCTCGTTTTTTTGATAACCTTATTTCAGTGGAAATGTAGTTAGGGGTTGCCAGTGCCCTTCCGTGCTCTGTGTCTCGAACACCAGACGGCAGATTGCAAAGAGTCTGCGCTAGTGCGCAGAGATTGTTTCCAGGCTCTCAGGCCTCTTAACAGTGCTAGTGTTACGTTTCATGGCTCTTTTATGTTACAAGTATGTTTTTTTACCTAAGGCTGGGAAGGGAAGGAGCTCCGGGGAGAATAAGATGATGATCTCGTGCAAAAAGCTGAGATGGAATAAGAATTGGACATCCATTTGGCTCACCCACCCCGGAACTCCTTCCCTTCCCACCATCAGGCTTAGATTAATAAAATTTATAGTAAAATAGCCATGAAATGTATGTCTACGAGGCTGAAAGCCATCTCTGCGCTCTAGCACAGTCCATGCACTCTGCCCTCTGGTGTCGGAGATGCAGAGCACGAAAGGGGCTGGCAGTACAACTACACTTTCACCCTGATGTCTTATAAGAACACAACCAAAAGAGTGAGATACGATCTTTTTAGTTTCTACGAAGATGCGCATAGAGTATTTGTTCACGCTCTTTCCAAATTCCTAGTCTCATCGTGTCGTATGCTCCAGAGCTGCCGCCATTCCTATTATCTTATTACGGCCCAAAACGTGGAACAAGACGGCATGAAGACAAGTACTAAGCAGGATGTTCCGTAGCTTTTGTACAGGAAACATTAAGCTGACAAAGTGCTTGTCATTATGGGTCTCTCTAGTGAGCATAGGAATGAAGACAGAACCGAAATGACTCTTACAGCGTAACATGGATCATCTATTTCCTATGCTTTCTGTCTCGGTTTTGTCCTCATTCCTATGCTTATTAGAGAGACACATAATGAGAAGCACTTTGTCAGCTTGATGTTCCCTGTACAGAAGCTACGGAACATCTTCATTCATGTCACGTTCTTTACGGAGATGATTCCCCAAGTAGACTTCCTTCAGGAAAGCCTTCGAACCATTCCGAACTCGGAGCAAACGATCAATAAATAACTGAAGTGAGTAACCATCTAAAAGTGTTGAGGAACGCGAACGAGGAATAGTAATAATTGTACGTAAGAAGAGGGTTAGTCACGTTTATGAGCACAGCTAATCTCTTAGGAGAACTGGAGATGAACAAGCGAAAAGAGTAGATCATTACACTTGAATCTTCTGTTACCCTAATCTAAGGGCGGGGCAAATATCTCTTCACTTGTTAAGCAAGTTTGATCGGTTTATTGTACTATTCACTGTGGTAAGCTATTCAACCTCAATGGGAGAGCAGATACCTAAAGGCACAGTTCACGATAAGAATGGTCTCTGAGACTTCTCTATAGGATGAATTCGAGGACTTTTCATATACCATATCTGGCGCTATCAAGTCGGGAAACGGCGTAAATAGGGCGTTAAAAGGCTCAAGATTGGCCGTGTGTATCCTCGGACGAGTTTCGCCGGCATTGTGGAGGCTGCACCGTGAAAGGCATTTCTGGGTGACGGTGAAAGGCATTTCTGTACAGTTCTGGCTTGATATAGCTAGCTCTCATTTCGACCAGTGGAATCTCGTCCGAGTACCCTTTTCATATTATATCCGCAATAGCTCGTCCAACCTCTAATTACCCCATTCCTAAAGAGCCATTATTTTTTGCAAAATCGGCGAATTTTCTCGCTCCCTTCACTATATCAAACCAACACTTTCGCTTTCCGACTTATAAAGGGTCCCTCAATATTATCGTGAGCTGTGCCTTTAAACTGTGATGAAGATCATCGTTTTGCACGAAAAAGACTTTATATCTGGAGGGATTGTTAGAAAATTCATTTCCTTATTATGAACAGCAACTTTGCGGTAATCGTTCTGAACCAGGTTGATATAGAGAGGATACAATTCGTTTGGCAGAAATTATTGAAAGATCTACAATGTATTACTGAATAGTTAAGTTCCCTTGCGGAAATGAGCACTTCCGTAGAAACAAAACACACGGACTTATCTAACATTTCATTGTTTAGACCGAAAAGCACGGGATGCAAACTATTTAGAAATCACTACATTCGAGATAGGATGGGAACTATCAGATGGAACCGCATAGAAAGGATATCCTAGTACACCTGACGACCTTGGCCTTTACGCCAGATCGTATCGCCTACATGAAAAACTTCTCGAATAACGGGGATGCATCGCATAGTTTCATCGCTCATTCTGAACAGGATTCAATACAGAGAACTGTTATCGCCAGCGCACTCGACGGGCAGTCTGAAAAACTAAAGGGTTCGAAGTGTCAAATCCTCGAGCACCCACCGCACATTTGGCCTGAGATCAAAGTCCCAAGATAATAGTGAATTACCTGGTTGGTAAAGAAATACGCGGACTGGCAAATCTACCGCGAAACACGTCAATTTTCTGACCTCTTCAATTTAAAGATTTTGTGAAATTCTTGGACCCGTCTAGAGCAATGTAGTAGACAGGATGAAGACTTTGCCATACTGATCGTTTCTCAGCCCTCCGATTTTACCCTTCAATACAACCTTGCTAGCGTTATGGTCTCTTAGTTTTTAGGTGAGGAGACCACCCAGCAAAAGTCCGCTTAATTAGTGACAGCCTCCATCATTGGGCCAAGGCTTAAGTTCTTATGCTATTGCACTTATCAAAGTGTTGGCTTCCAAAAACACATAATTCCGGGAGACGGGCGTTAGGAACGTTTTTAGGTAATCGATTCGCCGCACGCGGCCGTCGCGGACCACTCGTTCGCCGTTATTACGGCTCTAGCGTACTTCGTACAGCTGAATCGATATGCGATCATTATTCTACGCACAATTCTACTATTAGTACTTTTGTTCTTCTATTTCTTACCTACTGCTGCATCCTGCTACATTCCTTCGCACGCGACGCCACTCTCACCGCAACGCGACCATTTCGTTCCTAATGCACCACACCCCATAATTCCATATCTCGTTTACAGTAAGACACAGTTTATGTCTGCGTATTCAAGGGAAGTGAAAGAACAGAATAAACAACGTCCCATGTGGAAAAAAAGAAAAATACGCGTTTTGGATATTTTTTTCTTTTTTTACTGAAGTGTGCGATACGAATGATCCACTGAGCCCACGAAATTACTTTTTTAAACAGTACAGCAATACCTCACGCTGTATTAAGCACCTTGAGGAGAGGTCATCAACGCTATTTGACCTAAGGGTTTATATGCAGCTATCAACTTCGAAGGGCGGTGGTGGTGTAGTGGCAAGTGGCGCACTTCACTCACGCATGACAACGGGTTCGGATTCGGGTTCTATATCCGCCTAGGCCAACAAAGCCTTCCATACCTCCGGGAGCGGATATGAATTGAATTGGTCCAGACTCATTACGTAAAAGCGCTAACTTATACATCGGCTGGCCACGGCAAGTTTTTGTGTAGGCCACATTCGCACTCATTACGCCACTACGATTCTGAATGGAAGTCGAGGGCGGGCGCATCCCTCAGACGGGATTGATTAACGCCAAACCTTTATCCTTTATCCTTTCATCAACATCGAAAAAGAGGCCTTACTTAAAACCTTATTCAAGCTAAGACTTTGTGAAGAAAATTTTTCTGTTTTCAGAACTTAAAGGATATCCCTTCAACGCAGCTCCAACCTATATCGCAACCCTCGTTCTGCTTCCGCACATACTCCTTCGAGGCACTTCATCAGTAAGGAGCAAGTCACACTGAAATCGAGGAATTCTGCTTAGTGTTGTCCAAATTCTTGACGAGCAAATCCCCAAGTTGTTTACTTATTAATTTTAAGATGCTTCTTTAAGAGGATCAGACTGTTCCTAACGTTTACCAAAATTTCTCCTACGAATTTTCTGAAAATTCCATCCTACACGGCAACAAAACTCTTGAGGCCGAAGAATATGAATTTTTTCATTCAAAAGGCTAATTTTCTCTCGTACTACTGTCATCATTCTCATAATTAAATGCGGTTATGCACGACAGAGTTCGCGTCGCACCTAGGTGCGAATTGACCTCAGTCGTATAGAGTTCCCTTACCCGAATGGGCCCAGTTCTTCCGCCAAAAGGGATTTAATTACTTTCTAATAACTAGTAACTACAATATTGGCCACTTGTCTGATACTTGATGCACAAATTTATTTGATCTCTTTTTTTCTCTCTAAATGCTTCGCTTTCCTACTGTCCTCTTTATTTGCTTACCATTTCTATTTACATGACGATATGGGGACAGTATAAAAACATTTGAACCTCTGATCAGCATCGTACCGAGGTGTGCGATAGTTGCCAGTATATACTTCCCACACACACCTCCAAGCGCATTTTACAGAACATCGTAATCGCCCTACCCTGAGCATCCTCCAACTTGTTTCTCTTTCAAGCTTGAGTGTTTTCCAGATGTGAAGTTGCACCTTACTTTTGTTCTTCTTTGCCAATTCCGATTTTCCTAATCGAAAAACAGGATTCTCAGATACATATCTGCCCCTTGCTTACGAAAGTAGTTAAATCTCGCCACCAGCTGCCATTTGAATTAGTTTCTCGCTCGCGCATATTTGAATGTTTCATGAACTGCCATTGGTGCTCCACATGCACATCACGCCTCTCCGGATGTACGTATAGAAAATGTATAGTGCGTCGTTGTCACCTTTTCCCCCTACATTTCGAGTATGGGGGAGTTGATT